GGGTTTTTTTTGTGCACTTGTACCACTTTGAGAAAGACTACCTATACTAAGTGCAGATAACCAGCTCACCTGAAAATTAAGCGTGTAATATCTAAATTAAACAAAGAAGTTTAATTTCTATAGAAAAATGACTGATAAGGCAAGGAAAATTCCAAAACAGAAATAGTCTTGCAGGCTTTCCCTGGCTGAAAAATGCTTAGCAAAACAAAAAACAGCATGTAATGGCCTCACAAAATTATCCTGAGGGCCGCAAATGGCCCCCTCGTTTCACTTTGCAAGCACTGCTGGATTGCTAAATACTGATTTACTAAATATAAAACTACAGTCAGCTTTTTTATTTATTCTGACCAGAATTTGGACAAAGCATTTTTTAGAATATGAAATGAGCAGTATAGTTTAGTGATTGAAATAACTTCTAGCTGAATAGCTAGAGGTGAAATAAGATCCAGTGCCACAAGAACATAAGTAAATAACCTAAATATCTCTTCATCCCATCATGGCATATGCTAACAATTAAAAATGTCGGCCAAACTTCCTAACAAACATTAATTAATGAATTATTCTCGTTATTTTTAGCATTCTCTGGGTCAGTGATATAAAACTCTGAGTCACATACACCTCCCCAAAGCCATTTCTGTCCAACGAGTATTTGGCTGAATATATGCAATTCAAATCACCATTTATGATGCTGGGATCTTTGACAAACATAACTCTTCCTCTAAACACAATTTCTAAAGAAGAAGCAACCCATTGCAAATAATTTTGATCTTTTTACATTATTTATGTTACTTTAACAGCATCCATTTAGCTAGAAATGAAAAAAAAAATAAATCACACCTTCGAAGCTGTTTGCCATTTTAAGTGATAAGATCTCATTTTCTCAGCAACAACACAGAGGGGGGAGCTGTGAAGAGGTGAGATCTGTCTACTGTCAACACTGAGAAATATTGAAGTTACACACTATCAAGTGGTGTTTTGTCCAGCAAACTAAGGCCATGGTTTCATTATTGACACTCAGCTTTTTTCCTTGGCTCGGGTCACTTATTTCAACACTCACATCACAGCAGACTCTTGTTAAATTCAGCGGTTCTACCAAGAAAAGCACACTTGAGCTGATGGCCCTGGTTTCAGGAAACCTGAATGAAATATTTGCTCAGTTTTGTCCTTAAACACGTCAGTCAGAGATGTTTCAGTCATTCAATGGGTAACTCTCAATGCCATTGGCAAAAAGCTGGATGTAAGCAAACATTAAGGGTGAGAGAGAAGTTTATGTTGCATTCAGCAGCAGCAGAGGATGACGTCTAAATATGGCAGAGTCTCAGATCAGTTATTTAACAGTGTGAATAGGATACACACTGTTGCCTCGCAATTCATAAAAGCTCCCCATTCAGCCACTGAATTCTTCATCCCAGCTAAAGTCTTCCAGGATGACATTTAATTCAAAAGTTGTTGCAGATATGTGTGAACATGCAAAGTAAAGTGTTACAATGTCCCCACAAAGTCTGCAACCTGCACCTGATAAAAAGTAAATCTGTATGAAATAAGAAAAAACTAAGAGAGTAGAAATAAAGGCTGAGTATTTCTAACATTCACACAGTTGTTTTTATCTAATTTACATATGAAATACGACTTCAATTATTATTTTATTAAGTTTGTTGGAGCATTCATAATAGCTATAACACATGGTGCTTCTTTTAAATAAACAAAGAAATTTAAAGAAATTGTCATCTATTAGACAAGAATGCAAAGAGATATATCCGTAAGAGGCATCAAAATGTTTTTTAGTCAGTACTGCAATCAAATTTTCAAGTTCAGTATAATGTGCTGCAAGACATTTTCAAACACTCTCACATGTATTTACGATTTATTAGTTTTTGACAAACATCTGATAAGCAAATGTTAGGATGGAATAATTATCTTAGCATCTTAAATTTATCTCATTCAATCAAACTGTCTTTTTGTCATTTATTCCTAACAGCTACAATTATCCAAAACTACTTTTTGACTACAAAACGAAAGGTTGGTCTTCACTCAAGCTGAATCTGTCAACATTCATGTGACAAAGAGGTGATGTCACTATTTAAAGAATTACTCTCCTAGCTGCCACATCACAAGATTTTCTGGTAGCTGTATGTCAAACTCTATTTACTATGAAATCTCAGCAGGAGTATTCTCATGAAGATTATGATGCTACTTGGTTATATCCTTTAAATCAATGCCCAATACCAACAGAGACCACATTGTCCTGATTTTTTTAAAACTATAGGATGGAGTGATGGATACGCGCTGACAGCGCAGTCATTACTGTTTGGCTGCAAGGCACTTGTTCAGGTCTTCTTTATCATGAGAACTGTCAACAGTGGTGATGGAGAACCAGTCATGTCTGCAGTGAAACATAACCATGCATGTACCTGCACTGCAAAAAATGTAAATCTAATTAAGTCAATTTTTCTTAAAATAAGTACGTTTTTTTCTGCAATTAGTATCATTTAAATCCGTTGATATCTTTTCAAGTTGTCCTGTACACAGATTGACAGATAAACTAACAAACAAACAAACACAAATTCGACTAAAAACATAGATTCAGTTCAGTACTGGTCAGAACATACCCTCATGATATATGTGTGTCTCATCACTTATGGATTTTAATGATGCCTTTTGAGATTTTATTTATTTATTTAAATTTATTTTCTTTTTTCCTGGGAGGATGAGCCTCCAGATTCATCAGAGCCTCCTGAAATTCATCAGGGCTTCAACAACAGGTTGCTATGGTGCAAGCCGACAGAACCAACTGATTATTTTAGAAATGCTGAGCAAAAGTCAGGTTGGCCCTGATTTAAGTCTGTTTGTTGTCACCATGACTGAGATGACTGAGAGTTTGGCCAGGCATGTTGAATTTATCAAGGCTTACTAACAGGCTTGGGTATATACATGCAACAAACATCTAGCAAGTTCATCTCTATGATTTTTTGTATCCATCAGCAGGGTATTTGAATCTAATCCTATACAGATAAGTTTGATTCTGTGGAATCGAAAAAAAAATAAACTTGTGCATTGTATATAACATAATCAGTTCATCCTAAAGACCGTGCCTAATTAAAAGCTTAGATTTATTTTTACACTCTATACATACAATCTGAGCTGGAGCAGAGCTAACCTGGAAACTAATAGAATAAAGTCTGTGATGTTAGGCAACCCCTTATATTACAAATTAGCATACTAGTTGACAAGTATGTAGCAGTTTTTATTTTTTATTTATTTATTTTTTTTTGTAGAAAACTTGTTTGCAGAAAAAATAGCTGCTGTGAAAACAAGAGTCAACTTGCCCAGTATCTGTTCAGAAAGGCTGATAACCAATGTAAATATATCTTTTGTGCAGCTAATATCTTTAACAGAAGCAGAAATACAGCACACAGTGGCGCTCAAATATTCACTCCAACTATAACATCTTACCCCAACCAGATGCTGTACTGGATAGAAATACAGAGGGACAAGTCCAGGTATTTGTGTCACATTTTGATTGGCACTACACTAAAGTCCACCCCTGTAGTTCTTTCGAGCTACAAAAGCAACACCTTCAAACTGACACTCTCACTTACAGGGACAGGTGGAATCTGGAAAAATAGGTCAAAGCCGCTACATCCCTCTTAGAGAGCATAACTATGAGCTTTTTTTCTACAATAGCCAGTTGGTCTTTATCGCCGCATAATAAACTTATGAACTCAGATGTGCCAAATACATCAGAACCAACAAAATAAATTGTAACCGACACCATCCTGTGGAGCACTTGGCTCTGCTGTGATGCGTCACCTCAGAGACGATGGACAAACTGAGAACAAGGCCCTGTTGGAGCCCTAAAAGGGCAGGTGCAGCCACGCGCTAAATGAACTGCTTGTTTTAGACCCTCTCCCTTCTATTGGCTGTTTTTTTCACAGCAAGTGAGAAGGAGATTGAGACTGCCTGCAGTTAAAATATTATTTGGATAGAAGGTGAGTAAAACAAACTGCCTGCAAATGAGTGAGGTATGAAGCTGGCTGTTCCTATGTCTTCAGTGTTCTGCTTTAAATCAATGAATAGGCTCGCTTTAGACACTTTGCAAAAAGGAATGATCAGGCTTTCATCTTAACCAGACTAACCAGTGAAAGAGACCCTTGAAAGAATCCACTTTCATACCAGTAAGTGAATGCATTATGGCTGATTAGTGATTAGATCTTACAACAGCATGTGGAAACTTTTACTACCCAAAGATTTGTACTGACATTTAGCTTCTTTAACCAATACTAATACTAAAAAAAAAAAAAAGTCTATGGTGTGTATTACTAACCTTTTCATAGAGCCATTTCTATCACGAGAAAAAGAATCAGGAATTTCTTAATTTGTAGAAGAATTGCAAATGTGTCTAATCTGCTCTAAAACGACTTTTCAATTTAATATTATGAAACCAGAATTAATATCTTACAATTGAACTGTATCTTCAAGGAACCCCCATATCGTGACATTATTCCGTTTTTGTTTCTAGCCAGGCACCATTTCACCTGCTTTTTGTTGAATAGATCTGATTTCCCTACAGACACACTATGACTATGAATGGTATTTTTTTTTATAGCTAACTAAATGCAGAACGTAGAATCATTCAATCCAGTTTTCAATTTATTTTATTTATATGACACCAATTCATAACACATGCTATCTCAAGGCACTTTACAGAGTCAATTCAATCAAATATGTGAGTAAAAGTGTCTCCCATTTGATGAAGACAGATAAGGTGGATTTTCAATCTCCTATGACACACATCTGGTAGGCAGCTGCAGGTTGGCTCTTATTTGGGCTCCAAGAAGAAAGAGGCTTTTTCTAGCTGACGAGAATCAAACACATTGTATAACAAATTGAACAATGGAATTATTATATTATATCCTAACTGAATAAAATCCTAATTACAATTAAACAGTTTATGAGGTATTGAAATCTGAAATGGCAACCTTTTATCAGATTTTATTAGTCTCTCTGAAGCCTTAAAAGATGAGGTTCCTGTCTAAATCTTAACTCTAATACATATTCTTAACTAAGAGGAGAATGAAAAAACTAAACCAAGACTTAGAACAAGCCTTGAAGCAACACTTTGTAGCTTTTAGACACTAGGGGCACTAAACTTTTAATTTTAAGGTTCAGATTTCCTGAAAGCAACTGACAGCAGTTGCGTTCAGTGTTGCAAAGTGTTTTTTAATCTGATAGAAGACTGCTTAGAACAATCGAGAAGTCGTGGAGTTACTCATAAAAAAATGTCACATTTTCTCTCAAGATTATTCTACATCAGATAACCAAAAATATGCCTGCTCAGGTAAAGGTTTTGTTGGCTAACAGCTTTTAGCTTATTTAGATTTCGTGCTTAAGGGTGGAGCTCAGACTGCCATAGCGGAGCGATGGATCTGATCTTCTCAAGTTACATAACCAAGTATTTTAGAAGGGCAGCCCGCATAGAACTTTGATGCGCACCAATTACTGAAATTGACCTGAAGATTAATTTAGTATATTTCAAAATAAGCTACTACTTGGTTATAAAGTTATGCAGTGTTGCTTTAATCTGCACCAGAACCACTATTATTAAACTAAGAGCTGGGTCATATTTGGCTTTTAATTCCTATAGAAGTGCAATTTACCTGCCAAAACTTAACTTGTTTATTAGATTCCCAGACAGGTTTTATTCGTCACCCTGCTTCACCTTCCAGTGTCTGCCTACTCAAACTTACTGTACTTCATCCAAATATTTCCACTGTACTCTTCAAAGCACATTTATCATGCTAAATCAACATTTTTGAGCTAAAAACTATATTGCTATAACTTCAATATCAGGTAAAGATTGGTACTTAGAACATTGTTAACCTGCAAACTGGTTCTGCTGGAGGTTTCTTCCTGTTAAAAGGAAGTTTTTCCTCTCCACTGTCGGTACAAGCATGCTTAGTGTGAGGGATTGTATTTGATCAATGAGTCAATGCAATCAACTGGTTTTCCTTAGATAGAAAACTTTGAATCAATTTGACTCTATGATCTGGTGAACTGTAAAGTGCCTTGAGATGACATGTGTTGTGAATTTGCGCCATAGAAATAAACTGAATTGAATTGAATCTCTAGGAGGAATCTACATTGACTGTGCTGCTCCTTCCCAGTGAACAATACACCTCCCTTCTAAGATCAATAACATGCTCACCACTGAGAAAAAGTGTCTCTTTTACCATTTTTCACATTGCTAGCAACATTTTTTATTTTTTTTGTTAATGCCAAAGTTGTGAAAATTAGTTTTCTTTACTATGGGTCTCAGACTTTATTCAGTCTTTTAAAAGAAGAGATACTGTATTGTGGTGTGATATGGCAGCTTCATGAATTGGAGCTTAGCTTCCTGCAGAGATGAAAGAAAACAACAAATATTCATAACAAATTCATTCATAGTTTGTTTTGTCTTTGGAAGGCTTAAAAAAGCCTGATATACCATTAATATAAGGCGTCAATACTTTCTATGGCAGCTTGGCCATAGAAACCCATTCCATGAAACTCAAATAGCTTTTTATGGTAAATCTGAGGGCTACAGGCAGAAAGTTGGAGGACTCGTCATCCCCTGACCCCACTCTGTGGTTTTATATGTTCACCACCTTTTGGTTGAGTTGCTGTCAATCCCAATAGGTTCAACTATTTTCCAACGCCACTAACAGTTGACTGAAACATTTAGCGGTGAGTATTTCACTACAGTTCCAAATATACAGTAAAATGCTAGAATTCAATGAGCCTCTGAGAGCGTAACGGTCAAGATGACACTAGAGATTACCAGCAGAGTACACAGAAAAAGAAAAAAAATATATTGTCTCTATTGTTTCTCTCGAAACATAAAAAAATAAAGGTACTTTCTTTTATGTAATGGGAACTTTTTAACTAACAACTGCATGAATACCTGGCATATGGTAAAGCAAGTAGGTCACCTCCTGCTGTGTTTCCAACCCTAAGAAATGAATCTTCCACTCAATCTACATTTTAGAAGATGAGCTTAAGCAGATCCTTCAGAGCAACTCATTTATCTCTGTGTGACAGCTGCCTTTTGAAACACATCCATCACCACCTAGCCTACCGATTCAAAGCTACAGAGGAAACTGCAGCATTTGTCTTAGGAAGCTGCCCTCACATTTTCAAGCAAACCATTCAACACATGCACAAGGAGTCACATTCTCACCTAAGGTGTTAAAAATGAAAACAGATGAAGAATAGGCTATTGCTGTCTTATCATGCATGATGTGAGCAGCTGTTAGAACATAGGAATCTATAAACAGAGGAATTCTTTCAGTTTGTGGTTGATTGCTCTCTCCCTGCTTTCCAATATGCTTCTGCCTGCTGTCAACAGGTGTAAGAGAAAAAAAACAAGCACAAGTAGCAGAAAAACCCTACAATAAAGCACTGCCTGCCAAGCTGGGATTTGCAGCTTGCATTCCTGGGTGGGTTAAAGTTTCTTTCTCCTTCAATGCTCCAGAGACTAAACATGACTTTACTCCCACTGGCTTCAGCTCAGTGGAAGTAAATCGTTTTAGTTTATTCAAAAAGATGACTCACACTCTGCACATTCAGGACCTGATTTTTGGTTTTCCTCCCAGCATCCTCAACATGTTAAAGCATACACCTGATTGTTTCAACACTGCCAGAGCAAAAATAAATAAAGAGTCCATTCCTTTCAATTTAAAGGAACCACCTATTCCTCTGATCCTGCCACGTTAGCTGTGACTGCATGACAGCATTTGTGTGAGATATTGCAGATGCGCTGCATCACTCTCCTCCTTATGATGTGTGCAATAAGACTGTAACAATCCCATCTAAAACAGATGCTGGTGTTTTGTTTTTTCCCCCCTGCTCGTTAAAACCTGTTTGCGGTGATGATCACTTACACAGGATCAGCGGGAGCCGAATGACCGCCAGTCAGAGCCTCTTTATTCCAGATACTGACCAAGAGAGGCGGAGGGATGCGCCGCTGCGTGCGTAAACTTCCGCGGCACCTGTCAGCTTGTCTCCCGGTTACTTTTCCTCCTCTGCCACTGCTCGCTTGCTCGGCTTATTGTTTTTTTCCCCCCACTTAAAGCTGCAAACGTCAGTGAATGGGTGATCACGGGGTTTGTATTAGAGGAGGAGGGAGGAGGAGGAGAGAGGGTGCGAGGTGAGCGATCAGACACCCAACCTTGATTCTTCCAGACACTGGTAGCGCTGATGAGAGATGAGTCAGTGATTGGGGATCTGAGCTGTTTTATTCAGTTTTCATTACTGTGTGATCTGATATTGAACCCAGTATTTTTGCTTGGCTGGCACATGGGCATCCTGCGCTCTGCCTGTGCTGTTCCTGCAGGGGGAGGGGGTGGATGGAGGAGGCTGTGGGCTGGCTGGATGCTTCATTCATAAACCCATTCAATGCAATCAAAAATAGGGAGGAAGGAAACAACCTGGGCTTTGGTCTTGAGTGGAAACAGTGACTGAAACCATTGCAATGCACAAAAGTATAGGCAATTATCTGTTTGATAATGTTTTTGTTTTTTTTTTTGTTAGAAAAAAATTATAAAAAAGAAAAAGTGTCATGATTTGATTATGGTTAGTTGACCCAAAAGCAGAGGCAAGGAGGCAGAGGGGACATTTCTTGTGATGATTTAATGGAAGGTTAAACTGGAAACAGAGGCAGGTAATCCAAAATCCAAATATGAAAACAAAAAGTCCAAACCAACAGGAAACCAGGAATCCAACAAATAAAAAGTACAAAAACTAACAGGAAAGCAGGAGTCCAAAAAAACTCCAAAAAGTCAAAAACATGAAAACAGGTCTAAACTAACCAGAAACCATGGAGACATCAGCTGGAGGAAGGCTCAGAGAGACGAGTTGGAGGAAGTTAGACGAGGGCCCAGCAAACAAGAACTGAAGAGGTAGAGCATTAAAAGGAGACTGAGACAAAGGGAGGGATAATGGGAAGATTGGGAACAGGTGAGGACAGAGCAGGAGAGGAAAAGAGCTAGGGAAAAAGGAGAACACAAGAGGGCAGCAGAGGGGAACAACTGAAAAACCTAGAAGACTGGAAATAACTAGAAAACGCAAGAACATAATAAATAAACCACAAAGAATATAAAACATGGAGCAAAGCAAAACGGAAAACTCAAAAGAAAAACATAACAGAGCCAAGACTGAAACAGTAACTGATAAAAACCCAAAGAACACAACAAAATAAGAATTAAACCATCAAAAACTATAAAACAAAGAGCAAAGCAAAACTGAACATCAAAAGAAAAACATAACAGAAACAGAAACCTAACAAAAATATTTTTTTTTTCTTAACAATAACTCAACAATATTCAATATTATACCATTTTACATGTTTCCACTTGCATTTTGAAAATGTATCTGGTGAGGAACACAAAGAAACTGGAGGACCTCTTTTCCAGAAGCGTAGTTAGAAATTTTTTTATAAGGGTTGCCAAGCAATAACCAATGTACACTGAGGGGTGGCCTAAAGCGGACAGGCACCAGAACCTCAGAGTCAATCTATACTGTTCCAACAGGAAAATATACAAGCAAAAAATCCATATTTTCTAAATAAACACCAACTATACTTTTCGAAAAGCCTTTGCTAATAAATATACGAAGATATTAAACAGTCATGTTTCCTAGATAAAAGGTAAAGTGGATAAAATTCTTTCAGGTGTAAGTTCTGGGGAGAAATCTTTTTCATTGTCATTACTTACCTAATTTTATCGATAATCATTCTGCATTCTGCAAGTGATATTTACTAATATCTACATATAACAAATTTCTCCACTGTGAGAT